AGTGAAAGTTAACTTCCTGCAGTCTCAGGAGACTTCACATCAAAAAGCACCTTTGAACAGCACCCTACCCTTCACCTTCAAAGCAAACCAAAAAGTAAAATATTCTCCGTGTCATCTGCATGTTTTAGGCAAAAGGAGACTATCAGAAGTTTCTATCTCTAACCYGGAGTGCATGTATGAGCCCTTTTTAGCTCAGCTTTGGCTCAGTCTGAGAGTGATTTAAAATATCACACACATTTTGGATTTACAGAGTTACACAGACTATACAAAAGTTTTTAGCCAGACAAAAAAGCCGTTTTGGAAATTTGGCCACTTGAGGTAGCAGTGGTAGCTCAGCCAGCCAAGCTGTAATTTTTATACCAAGGAATGAGCACTGAGTTCTGGGCTGAACCGAAGCTCCCAGCACCCACCAGGAGGCAGCCCTGAAAGGTTGCTGCTGATGGGACAGAACACCCTCCTTTCATTTTCAGCCTCTACGTCAACACTTATGAGCAACTCCCCGACAGGAAAAGCACAAACCACGCCAGATCTCTTCAGTAAACAMAAAACCACTTCTGCAAAACACATTAAGCAACTCTTGACAGGCCAGAGGACCGGGTAGAAAGCAGAGAGCATTTAAGGACGAGTCAGAACACGTGTACCAACATTAGCACCACTCCTCAATTGCTGATAAAAGACACAGCACCCCACTGCAAAACAAGGCACGTAAATTCACTGGAAACATTCACTGACAGCATTTTTTTTCCAGAGGAATCCCAATTGCCTGTAGAACTGACAGCTGTGTTAACAGGTTGAAAATCTCTGCTTTGTTTAACACAGTTGACTGGTTGACTGAAAACCCAGAAAGCAACTGAATAGTCAAAAAATCATGCCTTTTACTTTTWAACTGTGATAAACTTGTAACCAGATCTCCTCTTGATTTGAGTGGCAAATTCAGCAGCAGTGCCATGGCCCAAGCTCACTGATTTACCTGAAACCAGTAAATGCTCTGCTCCATTTTCCCCAAGCTCTCAGAACGTGTTCCAAATGGACTGTTTCTGAAGAAAGCCTACAAGACCCCACAACAGATCAGAGAGAACTTACAGCCTGGCTACCCACAAGAAGAAGAAATTAATAGACCAACACCACATTTTTTTCAGAAACCACCAWCCTGGAAAGGCTGTAACCCCATGTGAAAGGCAGGACATTGAATCTCAGCTGTACCTGTGCTGCTGCCAGGAAGAGGAGCTGTCCCCACTTCATCCACACMAATATTCACATGGCAGCCCAGAAAGCTGGGCCAGCTCCCTGAGCTGACTCCTCACGTGGCCACCTGTGTACCAACACTAAGGATCAACCAGAAATAAAAAGCAGAGTCAGGAACAGCGTGGGACTCTCACTGCATTTCAGAGGTCAGGGGAAGTCCATGGAAAATAACTAAAGGTAAGCCTGAGCTCAAACTTTAAACAAACTGCAGGAACAGAAGCACAGCTTTTGGAAAGGCAAAGGCTGAACATCTCAATCCTCCTAAGCTGGCTTTAATTAATTTTTTTTTTTTTTAAAAAAAAAAAGCTAGCCAGCTTTTAGATCCTTGCAAGTCTCTTCAAGCCCACAGGAAACTGTTTTCCTTCACCACCCCATTTCTCCAGTAACCTCCTCTCTCTCCTACTGTAATCCTTTCATTTTCTCTGTTCTTGTGACACYCTGTTTTCTTCCACTGGGTGACCCTGTCTACCCATCCATTTTCCTAAGGACACAGCTTTTCCATTACTTTTCAATAAAGAGAAAAAGCAATGAAGGCAGAGGCTACAGGACAAACAGGGAGATCCATCTCCCCAGTATCACCAGCCCTAGGCAGAGCCATGAAGGCAGATGGGGCTGAGCTTTGCCCATGCTTCAGACAGTCTCCTAAGCWTGATTCTACAACTGAACTCTCAAATGCTGCCTTCAAATTTAGATTCCATCCAGGACTGCATTGGCAAACCCAATTCTGACCACACAGCCCTGTGCTCTACCAATCTGAAGAGCAAATCTGTTCTCTAACACTTTTTTAGGTTGCAATTTTTCCAGGTAAATAGTGTTTTTTTCCACTRTCCCTGGTATGCTCTGGTTCAGTGCTCTACACGAAAAGTCACATTGCCAGTGAATTATTTCTTTGGAAACAACCTTTATTAGCTTCCTATGAAATATTAATCCAAATAATTTAATGTTTTCCCACACGTACACCTGAGCGCTGCCTGCCAAGTAAGAAAGAACTTTTGCTGGCAACATTTCTTAATCCAGAAGAAGTTGTAAGGTGTTCCTGCTTTAATGTGCAACTGAGTGATGCAGATTAGAAAARTTKTAATTATTTTTTTAARTTTTTTCCAGTATGGGATAAAAAAAGATGAAACACGCTGAAGGGTTCACTGATCCCATTCAATTTTCTCACTCTATCACCATTTGAACTCACTATGACAATAAGCTAAAAGTACAAATGTTTGTTGCAAGAACAGAACCCTCATTCCAACACAAATTATAAAACCACTCATTTATAAACAATTTAAGAGATTTAGTAATATTTCTACAGGACTAATGTTTTCTTTCCTAGGAATGCCTGCTGTCAGAAGGCCCTGTTTTCATGGCTAATGGATACTATTTCTTCTACTGAAAGTGATGGAGCCTCCCTAGACTCATAAGACCTGTTACTGGTGACTCAGGCACTAGGAATAYCCCCATGACCATTTCCAGCTCCTCAGGCACTGGTGGTGTGGYACTTTAGTCAGTCTTGGTTCAGTTCATGTGGCAGATGGCAGAAAACACAGCCTGTGCTGTCAGTCTGTTTCATTCCYAAGGAAGCTGCTGCATACCCAGAGAGCTGACGGCCTTTTGGAAATTAATAGACCAACAYCACAATCATTGAATCATTGAGGAAGATCCTCATCCATCTGCAATCTTCTGGTCATGGTGTGGGGGTGCAGCCTACAGCCACTCCCACTCCTCAGGGTCGCAGCAGCAGCTCTCAATGTCCCATGACAAAACAAAGAAGCAAAGGAGCTTCCTTTCCCAAGATACATTTGACAGAACTTGCTTTTCCAAGAGTATGTGACACAGGCAGACTGTTTTTAAAACCATCTTCATCTCTCTTCTGCCATAGTGACCAAACTCAATGGGAGTTTAAGTGAGTCTGTACATTGGTTTGATGTTGTTACAAGGAGAAAACAACCAAGATCTTCAGAGCATGAACTGGTCATGCTGTGACACTTGAGTTATCTCCCTCCAGGAGCACAGGGAGCATCCCACAGTTATTGCCAAGTGCTTTCAGTTGTGAGCAGCCTCCACAACAAGTCAGGAAGGTGAGTGCTCACAAGTCTCAGCTGTCCTCCTCAGCACACCTGGAATCCAAACTGACACCAGAGGGTGTTGGGGACAGCAAGGAGGCAGGATGTGGCCTCTCAGCATACCTTGGTACTGAGCTTCAGCTGCACATGCCATGCGTGCACCCAAAACAACTTGCCCAGCGCTGTCATTTCCACACATTGCTCCCACTAAGCCTCAGACATTCCTGGGACTGCCAAGTGGTCATGSAGTTATTCCATGTGTCCCATTCAACAGGGCAATCAAGGACAGCTGCCCTGAGCCACACTAAATGCTGTTTGAGCAACACATCCCAGGAACTGCCTCACAGMTCCCAGGATTGCTTCATACCTGCACACGGGGCTTGTGAAACCTGAGCAGACAAATGCCTTCCAGGCTGTCTCACTGTCAGAGGATCTTCCCCAYGACACTGGAAAAGGCTTGCTCAGGACATTCCCTGTCGTGGTGGTCATTATTCTTATGCACCAAAACAAAGCAAAACCTCAAACCAGACACACTGTTGCTGTAGTGGATCATGGAATGTGATACAAGTTGTGGTTAAAGCAGAAAATTGTCATCGTTATTAACGTAAGATGTGTGACTTCCTTGCCTGCATAACAAAACCAAAGCAAGGCTTGGTCTCTACTGCTGGCAAATTTCATTACAATTCTGGACATCTCAACCTAAACCTGAAGGCAACTGCACCGGGAAGCAGTAGACATCAGCTGAGTGACATCAGTTGGTAGATCCCACTGCTTATCTGTTTAGCATGAAAATGAGGGAATTCCCACTGGAAGAAACTCACCTGTTGAATTTCGTGCCAATTTCTTGGAAGCAGGCCACAGAAAACCACTTCAGAGCAAGAAGCCAAACCCTAATTTTGCACTACTCAAGATTCTAAAGCAACCAGAAATGTTGTCAATGATCTTTCACCAGCTCAGGTGTCTTGACAAATCCTCTGCACACATTATTTGCTGACCAAACTTATTTTCCCCCCAATATTAAATACAAATACTAGAACTTTTATTCCAGCTAGTATGAATGTATGGCAAGAAGCGCCCTGGGCCAGCACATTTTGATTTCCCATTTCTTGCCACCTGTACCTTATCTTCTCAGATATACCATTTATACCATTACTCCCAAGAATCTGGAGAAGTGGCTAACCTAAAGTGTTACTTCTGCAGAGATGAGTATTCTTTCAAGTGAGGAAACTGGTATCTCAATAGAGTGGAACTGAAGCAGTCCTCACCACACTACTGTCATTAGCACAAGCAAAGAYTCAGTTATCATAATTAAAGTAATGGGGTAACAAGGCCACATCCTGAGCTTGAAAAACATAAGGAAAAGTTTAAAAATTCTTCCTACTAACTATGGTAATTTAAGACAGTATTTACTAGTGATGTCTGAAGGACTACTCTGTTAGTTAACAGAACACATTAAATATGAAGAGTGCTGCAGAACATTAGCAGCTGATAGCATCCTCTGAGCTCCTCTCCTGTGTCCCATCAATCCTGAGCTCCCAGTGAATCTGTCAAGCTGGAGCAGATTGCAGTTAGGGTAAATTGTGTTTTAGGACAGGCAGATGCACCAGAACCAGACTGCAGTGACTCAGTCAAATGACACAGTGCCTACACAGAGAAAGCACTGGCTATAGAAAGAGCATGTGGAGGAGCAGAAGCTGTTACCTGTGGGTGGAGAGGGAAAAACATCCCCAGAAGGATAAAGCTCCTCGCTGTTTTCAGAGCTGTGTGGAGGCAGGAAGTGCTCTGCTAGGTCACAAACAGAGGGGAGGTCCAAAACACTGCTCTCTGAGGTGTCACTTGGTGACGTCTCCTTTCCTTCCATGGTCCCACTGCAGACATAAATGAGATTCAGCTGGGTTTTTAGAGCATGARAATCTAAGCAGAAGTCAACACAAATGATCCAGCATTTTTTACTGCTTTATGAGCTGAGAGGAGATGTTCTAGTATAATCATACTTCAGTTAAGAAATAAAAACAAATTTAAAGATGTAAAGAAGGAACAACATCAAACCCCATAGGTAACAGCCCTCAGCCTTAAGTAGGGTAACTAGGAGTCCACAATAAATCTGACCTTCCTAGAGGCTTCCCAGAAGTGCAGATTCAGGCTCCAAAACWAGGAAGCCATGGAGTATATTCCCTTCAGGGTATCCTTTGTGTGCCATTTAAAAGGAAACATGTTCTACAGGGTCCTTTTTCACTGATGCTGCTACAAGCCTCAAGTTAAATCCACCCATCCTAGCTACGACCACTAGCAGAAMGAAAATGCTTCTTAAAACTTGGTAGCCTCAATCTGACAGGGATGGCAAAAAATTCCTAGTGTGGAGACAGCAGGGGCAGCTGTGCTGTATAACCTGTGCACAGCACTTTGGAAAGCTTTGGCTGAAGCATCCCCACATCCCAAAACCCTTCTGGCAAGATTCCTTAACCAGTCCACCACCACAAAGGGAACAAACACACAGTTGGGTGGAGAACAAGACAAGGCTGGTGCCACCCTGCTCCACATCAATGACTACGTGAATGGGCAACTCTTTTGGAGAGGATGGAATTAAAGTGTTCCAGTCCAGCAGCTCCAAGCACAGCCACATGAGTGTCTGGGGCAGAAGATGAGTGAAATGTGAAAAATTTGGCGGGGGAATAGCTCCTTCTATTTTGGTAAAGAGTGACAGGACAGAGGAACCCGATCTGGTGGTCAGGCAATGGCTTGTGACCCTGCAGGCTCACATTTATCTTCTCTTCTGTAAAATGAAGACAGCAAGTTCTCGTCTTGGGGTTATTATCAGTAAGGAATGTGACAGCCACAGTGGGCAAAGGAATCCCCAGAAGGCATTAGTACTGAAAAATTAAGTATATACCCCCATGCAGATTTTTTTAAAAAAGACACCATTCCTTAGGTGCTTCTGTGCTGAGTAAACTTTTAGTTAAGATACACCTCTGACCTTTGCAATATGCTGGGCAACTCGCTGGTGAGGAGAATGGAGATGTTGGCTGGGATACCAGAGAAGAGCAGCTGCTTTGCCTTGGAGGGACAAGGTCTGTGCACTCACAGAAAGGTCTCAAGAAAAAGTCAGCATAAGGTTAAAAACAAAACAAAGTACACATCCTTCTTCCCTCCAACAGTCACTGCAAAAAGAAGCTTCTCCTCCTTTGCTCTTCATGTACCAAAATATAAACAATCTGAACATAAGGAACACAGAGAAGGGAAAACTTCCCTCAAATATTGTGTTCACAATGTGTGCTACCTTAAAGTACAAAGTACTTTAGAGTACATTTTAGAGAACTAAACTGCCTATTCCTGTCCTTGGTCTGGAAAAAAAAACCAAACAAAAACAACAAAAACCCACACTGAAAACTCAATTAATTCTGTCCCTCCCAAGGGCAAGTGGCAGATTACAGCAATAGGAGCTGCTGGTGTGATACCACAGCAGCTTAAGGCTGTCATTGATGGGAGCTGTATTGATGGCCCTGGGTGTCTCTGCCAGCTCCCTGGGCTGRTCCCCTTCCTTGTCTTGCCACAACAGGACTAACAACATGTGCAACCATATTYTGATCAGATTTAGATAAAACAAACCAGCTTAGAAAACAAAAAAAAAAGTTTACTTCTGGATTAGCTCCCTCCAGTCCTCCTAAAAGTATACAGCAGTCCTACCCCCAAAACTGATGGTGAGACCTCAGCTGATGGTGTTTGTGAGAAAAGCCTCAGTCCTGGGCCTTCACACATATGAAAGAGATTCACTGTTACCTCTGTGCCATACCTGAGAGCACTGATGTGCAAACAGTCCCTTTGGACAAAGGCCAGGAGCAAACAGTCTGTTACTGCTTCAGGATTCCCTTGTTCTTCCTTCACGGTTTGTCAACCCCACTTGCTGGAATGAAACAAACAGGTCAGTTAGATGCTTTCCACCAGCTGATCTGGCAGACGGACAAAGTGACCTTTCAAAAAACATATGCTGGCCAAAATCAACTGCCAGTCATCACATATACCACTGGGTCTGGTAGAGAGGAAAAGTTTTTTTCTAGGAATCAGAAACAGCACATCCATTTATGCCCTTGAACCTTTTGACAGCAACGGAAACCTCCTGGAAAGGGGCCGGTACATTCTAAAATTAAAGCCAAGATTTTCTTTACAAKAAGCTGCCAGATGGGCTGTTTATTCAAAACCCACCAAGCAGAGAATCAAGTTATAGCTTGGCARCTTTCCCTCCCTCCTGTGGAGAGCAGGTATTTCCCCAACAGGTTTATCTAGCAACATCTTGATATCAACAGCCTGTTTTCTCAAACCTCAGCCTGAAAACGTGCTTTCAGAGCACCACAAAACCCACCCTGCAGAGCGGCTCACAAAACCCAAATCCTGTTTCCTCTGCCACTACCTCGACTATTTTCAGTGAGCAACCAGGACAGATGTAGTTTCAAGCAGAAAGAGCATTTTTTTTTTTCCAGGCCACCCTCACGCGGTGGCACTGCACAGCCACCAGGAATGTCACAAAAGCCTGTCCTGCACAGGCTCACCGGCTTGGCATTAGAATGTGATTGATCAAGTGGGTGTGAGGCACTGGCCTTACCGGCTGCCCTGCTCAGCTGCCTTTGGGGGATGCAGGGGAGGGGGTTTTCCTCATCCCGGCCTTTCCTGCAGGCAATATTCACGCATTGTTTCAAAAACCACTCCCTTGGCAGTGAGGGGCAAAAAGAGCGACACGAGACAATGGTGCGAGCCTCACCACGGCCTCACCGCCCCACCCCCTCACCGCCTTCTGAGGAGAAATACCGCTGCAGCAGCCCGAGAGCGGCCAGAAGTCGAGTGAAGGGAGGAACAAGGGAAAGCCAAAAGCAGGGCAGGGATGTCCCGAGCCGGGCCGCAATGGCACAGCCGCGCCTCGGGCCTTCCACGCCGCTGCCGGGCCCAGCGAGAGACCTCCCACCCCAGACCGCCGAAGGGCGAGGTGAAGCGGACAGAAGCCTCTGTGCTGTGGGCAGAAGTGACCAGAGGACCCCGAGCACGGCGCTGCGGGCCCAGGAAAGCCGGCKATGATGATAACACCGATGATGATAACACAAACCCGAACAGCGACAGCGCCGTCCCGGCCTGCCCAGCGCGGCTGCGCAAGGCCCGGGCCCGCCCCGCCCGGCCGCGGATGGGATGGGGGCGGGAAGGATTTCAAAATGTTCTAGTGAGGTTTTCCTCAGAACTCAGATTTCTCGGTCAGAATTCGGAGAGGAGAGGTTTTAGCGGTGGCGCTGTTCCGTGCCTGGCACASGGGAGGCCGTCTCGGGTTGCTCAGCGCTTGGTCGCTTTGCACCGCCGCCCTGCCAAGGTGCAGCTTGGAAAAGCTGAGCGTGAGGCTGCGGGTTCAAACATAACAGAGTGCGCTGAGAAAAAAAAAAATAACACAATTCCCACCAGTTAAGCAACTGGGGAGACTGCGAGCCTTCCTCCAGGGTTTAGGGAGCTCAWGGAGATATGCACCAAGGATGTTCATGTGCTCCCAGCGAGGAGTTTTAACAGGCGRTGGAGTGGAAGCTTCGCAAACCCTGCTGAGAAGCGGGATACAAACCACACTCAGTTTGGGGCATCGCAGCACTTCGGCACCTGGCACGATTGGCGCTGCCACAGCCACAACARGCGTGGCGACAAGGACATTTACGGSGGACTGACACAGACATCYTGCCCCTTTTTAACAGCRGACAYGTGCTGGGTGCTCGTCCAGCAAAGGGAATACGGGGCAGTGCCGCCTGACAGCGTGTGCACAGCACAGCCAGACATCCCGGGACAGAGGTCAAGGATCCGCCCTGTTATCGTCTGGGCAGGAAAGCTGCCGGCCGACCTGCCGGGAAGAAGTACTGCCATGGGGGAGCTGCCTGTGCTTTTTGGCACGTGTGCTGTAAAGTGAGACTGGGAAGGAGCTGGGAGTTTTTTTCCAAGAGCCTTTGGAATTAGGAGTAACTGAAGGCAAACTGATGTGTTTAGGAGGAAGTCACTAAAAGGAAGAAAATTAATTTGAAGTTCCCGTAGCTGCCAAGAGGGCTTTGTTTTTCTCCCAGGTGAGCTGGTTTGAGCTGGCAAAGGTCTYCACAGGGAGAGCCTTTGAATCTGTGTTTCAGGCACAGCAGTGACTCTCTCGAGCCAGGCCTGGGCATTTGGGGTCACTGCATAAGTAGAGATGTGAACCTAGCTACACCTGAACTAAACTAAACCTGGACTCTGCTCTAATGCTAGACTACCATCATATCAGTTCCTGGGAGCTGCCCATCCCACTGGGAAGTTCTGTGACTTGGAAGGCAGCACCCTGGCATTTAATTTCCTTGCAGGGAGCAGGACTGGAGCTTAGCTGTGGAATGCAAAACATCAGCAGACCTGCTTTATTTASCTCTGGGAGCACATGAAATATTGCAGCATCCAGAAAACAGCCATCYCTGTGATTTCACCCCACTGGATCATGCCAAGTCTCTGCCACTAGAAAAGCTCTGGCTCTGGGCAAYACCACTTGCTCCTGGAAAAGCAAGGAGCTCCAGCAAACAGAACTGCCAACATGTAGTACTTATTAACAAACATACACAGCTTACCAATTTCTATTTGTCATGCTAGGTGGACAGMCAAATCTTTGAATTTCATTTCCCTCCTCTCCCTCACCAGAATGAGGAAGTCCTGCAGTGCTGGCATCCCCATCGTTGTAGTCCACATGTTGTAATCTTTATTCCTTATGAACTGTGTTATCAGCAAAAAGATTAAGTTTGCCTGTAGTATTTAGGGCAAGTCTCTAAGTGAGTACTACGCTCCCTTTTATCAGTGCCTGAATGTTGGCACATGATAAAACTATACCAGCAGTCATGTCTGAAGATGGCTAAAGTAAAAGGTGTGTGAGAGCCAGGAAACTCAGAATTAAACCCCACACTTTTGCCAAATATCAGACTACTGAGAGTCACAGCTGGGGAAAAGGAAATATGTTTTGTGGCTCTTGCAGCTCTGCCACRATGAGATTTTTCAGTGTGTTGACAGTCTCAGGGCCAGATTGTACAAGTTGTACAATTCCATGTCATTGAAGCYAATGTGTATCTGCCWATTAAGCATGTTGAATACTTAATAYGTAACATGAAGAAAAAAATGTCTTCACAAACTTGCAGAACTTGCAGGTTTGTGTCTTCCCGTTGTCACACCACAGGGGAGCCTGCCTACTTCCTTCTTTCTTACACAATAGCTCAAAGCTAATTTAGTACATGAAAACAGAAGAGCAGCTGAATTAATAGAAGCGAATCCAGGAAGTGGGCTGAAGGGRTGCTAAGGAAACGTGAGCAATTTTGATTTTTACACTGCTGAATTCACAAAGATTGTTCTGTGAATTAACAAGAATGATTAAACCAAAGTTTGTGGTCTATACTTCAGTGTTTTGTGTTCACTCCTCACAATGAACTAATCTTTTTTTTTTCTCAGAACTAAAAGCAAGAAAAAATATCAGTATATTTAAATCTATTATTTGCAGGCATTTTACTTTTCAGCTCAAGATACTGTTACTAAAACAGATGGAGAGTTAGGCTCCATCCTAGATTCCCATTCTGAAGCTTTTCCCAAACATTGCAGACAGTGTTTTAGTGCCCTTTGCTCTGTAAAATCCTCTTGTGGTTACCCTAGGAATTAGTGTTTTTAGGCTTCAGGCCAGTGGGAGTGAGAAACAGCTCTTCAAAGCCACGAGATGAGAAACAGCAACTGGCAACTTATTTCCACTCCTTCCAGACCAGTGAGGTTTGCTGACAACCCTGCAAATAGCAAAAAGCAGAGGAAAGCTGTAAGGAAAGCTCTTTTTCACCACCCCACTATCCCATAAAATGCCAGACACCTGGCTTTTTCAAGTAACTTTTTGCATGATCATTGCTCCTTCACCTAGAGCCGTGTCCTTTGTGTGCACACCACAGCAGAGTATTGAAAATGCAGCTCAGCTGTAGAGGCAAAACACATTAAAATCTGTATTATTCATCCAGATTCCTACCAAAGCCAAACCCAGGTTAGCATATCTGTGGGTATATACTTGCTTACCTGGGAGCAGAAAAGAGGCTGTTACCCTAAAACTCATTGATTTATCCAGCTGTGTTAGCTGATCAGATAAAGAGTRTTATAGTCCTTTCAAATTTGCCAAAGTTAGGTTTTCAGGACGCCATAAAAAGAAATTGTGTGTTTTGTGCTCCGCCACATCAAAGGCAATCATTGAAACCAGCAAAGCTCCTCTAAAGAGTCAGTGCCACTTCAGCTGAAATTCCCCTCCTCGTATTATGATCTCCAAGCAGTGATAACTGCGGGGCTAATGCCTTTCAGAGTTTGGACTGAGCTATCACAGAAACTGATTGGTGATTCAGGTTCCTGATTAACACTAGGGTTAACATATGAGCTATTCTGCCTGTCTTTCTAACTTACAATCTACCTGTCTTTCTCACCCACAGTCAAGCAGGCATCTCCCAAGTTCCTCCAACCCCATAAACTCTGCTCTGGTAACAGAATTCAAGACAGGTGAAGTTTATGAGCAGCAAGRAGTCATCTGCATTACAAAAAGTGGGTCAGCCAGGCAATCAAAAATATTCTTGGCCTTCTCTTCCCTGGCCATAAGACAAGTAATGCTTTTTGCTTCCTCCTTCAGTAACAACAGGTTTAAGCCTTTTGCTTGCTGCAGTCAACACCCTGAGGTACAGGAAGTTTCAAAGACCAAATGCTATTTTCTGTTGTGYCACGTGCGAGTAAATTGACTTCTATTTTTTTTTAATGAATCTCTTGCTGTGGCTGTGACCTGCTTTTTCTGGTATCTGGGTTTTTAAGGTGTCACTTCTAAACTAAACAAGAAACCATGGTAGCCAGTTCATGTATTCATATGGTGTCTCAGAATTTTGTGATTTCAAAAGAAAGTGGCTCTCTCTTCAAAAAGTAGTTGACTGTGGCAAAGGCTTGACAATGTGAATGTTTGGGACATTTTGGTACAAGCAGAAGCAGAATTTTTTTTTTTTTTACAATTCTGTACCAAATCCCATCTCTCTCCTTTGAGATCCTCTGCTAGAATGGGTGCAGAAGCATGCTCTAGTGCTCTGATTGCTATCACCCCTTCTTTTTGTGCTATCTCCTTTGCATCTGCTGCTGCTTCAACCCACTTTGAATGAAAGCTTTTTAGGACCTAACACTGTTATTCTTGTTCTGTACAAGACTTYAGCATGGTGGATCCTGACCTAGGGYTCTCTGTGGCTTCATTTCCTCCCTTCTGCATCAMAAGTCACTAAAATAAAACAAAAGCATTGTGTAGCTTAAGGGTAGGCATGAAGCACACTGTAAYTCAGCTCTCATGATGCACCTAAGCACATCTTTGGTCAGATTCTTAACTAGAATTGCATTTCCTTCTGCCAGACTTCTCTAGCACTGCATTCCTATTTGAGTCTGCACACCCACACCCTTGCATTCCTGCTGCCCAGGAGTTTTGTACATCCCAATTGCTCTGCCTGGCTGGGACACAGCTGCTACAAAGCAGAGACATTTGGAGTATCTAAGCTCATATCTCAGTCTCCCCTTGGAGCAGAAYAACCATTGGTTTATCCTCTGCTGTTTTCCCCCCTTGCAATCTTCAAGATCAACAGCCTCTTCAGCTTCTTGATCACTGAATACACCGGTCAGCAACTGGACTCCTTTAATTCTGGCCAGGAGCGTGTGTCTGAGTTTCCAGTTCTTGTGCTCCTGGGATCTGGAYGGAAATTGTTCCAGCTGAACCTTCATCCATCCATCCACACATAAATACCCCCCAAGGATATGTCATGTCCTCATGCTGTTGAGCCTTTAGGGAATTTCCAAAAGATGCTTCCAGCCTCACTTGGAGTAAACAGTCACAGGAGAACAGTCRCTGTCTGGCTTCTTGCCTGGATCTTCCAGTGCCTGATATAGAATGGAGGGACAAGA